TCCTGTAATATTGATATACATCAAAACATTAAACGAAACACACTTGTAATATTATGGTCAAAATGAGAGTACTAAGCATTACTTAAAAGATCAAAAACATCCAACAAATATGTTGAAACCATAACATTGTAAATATGCATTTAATGTAAACTTAAACATTGTTGAACACTTCTTTGAATACAATATTCTGAGTCTTGTCAGTGGTTCCTTCATCTTCATCAACAATTAGAATTTTCAAACCACAACGATTGGTAACCCTTGATACTGCAACACACAACTGTTCGTGGGAAAATAACGATTATTTCAACAACAACCCAACACGGGGCAAAGATTGTCTTTGATGAATTAAACGTCAAAGGCCTTCAAATCGCTAAGAATATGAAAAGACCTTCAAATCGTAATAATATGATGGATTAGCCGTGTTCTGAAGGCGCATATTTTTTGTCAAACAAAGGATTGTGCATTCTGACCACATATATGATGAATTAATCGTCACATAGACTACATCCTGTCTACTCCCATGAGGTATCATCGGCAACACCTGCCGAAAATCAAAGGTTTATATAAATTAATTGACGGTAAACTATTTATAATGACTAAGTAATAAGGTGACTATATAAATTTATACGATTTGCATTTTTTAGACGAATTGTCTCTCTAAATAGGTAAAATAAGGAAGTAAAATATGTGAAAGTGTGTTATGGCATTCTTGAATTATACTTGAATCTAAATTTGTGGGGAAATGTTCAAATATGTGTTTCTACTATTTCTTATACCCAAGTATGGTCTGATCTAGTTTGTTTAAGTTTGATTTGGTTTGAGATTGAAATAAGTCTAAGTATAAACATCTCAAGTAATATGGTGACAATGCATTTATACGAATTGCATTTTTTACACGAATTGCCCGGGTGAATTGGCAATTCAGGGGGTGCAAATATGTGAAAGTGTGTTATGGCATTATTAGACAATATTGAAATATGATAATTCTTCAATCGGGCCTTAACCGGCTTTATTCAATCCTAGACCGAACCCGAGCTAACGAAAGCTGACTCGAACTAAATGTAAAGGAATTTTTTTCGATCTCTGATTTTCATAACCGATTTCTTATGAATATTTTTTGATATCATCGAAAAACCAACAGAGACCGGACAGGTCCCACCCTTAATGCCATCATCCAGAAACCGGACCAATAATGAGATTATGTGAATAATTACTGATTGAGGTCAATTGCAATTAGGAATTTTTAAATTTAGGACTCGAAAGATAAATGAATTATCAATTGTATAACAATTGTAAAAGAAAATAAATTGACATGACACACGCAGGGGTGGATGAATATCACTTCACTTTTGAGGGGTGAACTTAACTGCTCATAATAATGCGGAGTATGACGAATACATTTCACGAATGTTCTACGAAGTGATTCGTATATCCCAACTCATATGAATTTATTTACATTTGTACATCTCCTATTCTCATCACAACTCACTCCAAGAAGATGAGGCCCTTCACCCTAACCTACCAAAATCGACAGATGATTGTTATCAGAAAAGAAAAAAGATCTATTTTAATGATGATGAACCTTCATGTGAACTATATCCATTCTTATCATACCTCAGGTAACAGATCTTAAATACGTACCCTAGACAGGTTGGTTTTTGTGTAATTGATATTTAATTATGTGTCCTGTAATTCAATTGCATGCACCAATTATAAAAGCACTGGTGTATTATTTAGGATTTGTATTTCATAGTTGAAAGTCTCTTAAAATATTCAGGCTTCTACTGCTAAAAAGGTGAAGCCCCTCATTAATCTTATTAGCAGTACTCCATACTCAAACGTGTTGCTTATTTTTAGCTAGTACACTTTCATCAAATTCAAAATTTGATATCGTGGTTTGAGAATTGAGATTCTATGTTTTAAAAAACATATTACTTCTTGATGCCACACACAACTCTCACATTGACCTTATATTTAAAAATTTAGACACTTGATTTAGAATATTAACATTAGACACTTACCCACCATTTAGAATATTAGCATTATAGGATATAGTAACATAAACAAAGGGAGTGCTTACCTGAGAAACATAGAGAAAGAAATCACATCCCATTCATGAATCATACACCACATACCCACCATTGTTAGAAAGAAATGTTCCGTATTACCTTCTTTTGCTATTTCAACTTGATATGTGAGTGTGGTGTGAGAATTGTCATACAGGAGTGTAGCTTTTATAGCTGGGATTAAGATACATGAAATCTCATTTACTGTTCTCACCTCTTTTTTTAACCAATAGGAACTCACCCATTTTTATTTGAGCCATGTGCACTAACTCTATTTTGGTAAATAGTGCACACCTCCTTTTTTAACCAATAGGAACACATAAGAATTCCCTAAGCACAATTTTTTTCCCCAACAGTGTCCACCTCTTTTTTTTAACCAATTGGAAGAGACTCAGTTTCAATTGAACCCTGTGCACCACCTCTTTTCTTGTCAACAGTAACTACCTCTTTTTCCAACCAATAAGAACACACTCAATTTCATAAGAATGTCATGCGCACCAACTAATATCTTTACACAATATTTTTTTTTGTATTTTTTTCACAAAAATAAAAAATAAAATTTTGATGTTGACATTTTTTGGAGGGAGTACTATTCACAAATTTCTTTTGCTTTTATATTAGAATAGATAATACATCAAAAATCATTTTTTATCAAACACTCCAACTTTTAACTTCTTAACATAATCACTTATGTTCTCAAACACTACCAACTTTTACTATTAAGAAGGTGTTTGGAACTGATTCTGCTTCTGCTTCTTTTTTAAAGCAGAAGTAGAATCAGAATCAGTTTTCAGAAGCTGGTCACCCCCAGTTTCTAAAAAAACTGATTTAATTTTAGGAGTAAATTAGAGCACCAGAATCACTTCTGCACTTTCACCCAAATACTCCAGCTTTTGTTTCTGCTCCCTGAAGGAGCAGAAACAGTTTTAAGAATCAGATCCAAACACCCCTAAATACTTTCTTCAAAATCACTTTAAAAATTTATTTTTTTTGAAGTAGAAGCCATCACAAACCGTTAATGATTCTAGGTGGAGAGCAACTGAGCAATGAAACCTTCATGATGCGAATTTCATTTTTTGGAGAATAGTTTGTAGTTATTGTCCTATTCATCATGCACGTGGTACGAGGTTGAAGGGGACCCCTAACGCAGAAACACCTTACACACAATCTCTCTCAATTTAGGGCAGGGGCGACCGCCCTTGTACTAAAACTAAAAACCATTATGTATATACGGAGTATAATACTTTCACAAATTATTCATATATTTTTAATTATTCGATATAAATACAAGTGTTTGTCCACTTCATTTTAATTTTTAAATTTTAAAAATTGATTTTATACTTTTAAATAACAATTCATTCAAGTTGAAATGTTTAATTATTAATATAGCTTAGTTTAGTTTAACGTACTTAATTTAAGAACGTATAAATTATTTGTATCAAGTTTAAATGGATTCATATATAAAACCTATGTGATATTACCTCGTTCTTAAATAATTGCAACATTAGAAATTTCACGATATTCATGTGTTTTACTTCGACTATTTTTTTTATCTATGAATATAATAAAAATTTATATTTTTAAGAAATATAACTGAATTCTTCTCACTTTAGATTTTCAAAATGTGGTTTTTCTGATTATTTTTCAATTAGAGAGTTAGATATATTGATGATGATGTGTGTTACGCTTCTCCAAAAAAAAGTTGTGTGTTACGTTGGTAATGTGCAGAGGAAGTAGTATTAAAGTTCGATGTTTAATTAAAATGACTTGGACGACTAGTTGAAGCCAAGTGGTCGAATGACATCAACTCCGATATGATACTAGATAAGTTCAAGAGAAAACGGCTAAATAAGATGTCATATTATTAGTGATTTTGCATCATACCCTTGAACCGGAAAACTTACAAAATACTTCTCAGATTTAAGCATTCAAATTCTTTTTTACTCCGTATCTGTTAGTGTCAGTAATTTCTTATGAGAGAGTTATCCTTCTTATTACTTGTATTTAGGGTCATTTGTAGTTCTTTATTTCAAATGGCTACGTAAAAAATTCTCAAATGGCTACGTAAAAATTTCCAACTTTGTTTAATTAATCATCCATGCCAATTTCCAAATCTCTGCCATTCTGTGTGACTTCTCTTTATCCAAAACAAGCATGAGGGTTCATTAATTAAAGATGTAGTTGCATGACAAAACCATATGGAGTCTACGTTTTATTAATCCGACGGCTATTATATGTACTGTACTGCGTGCAGAAGAATGAGCGTTCATATGGAAAAACATGTGAAAATGAGAAAGAGCATATGCTGCTTCCTAGCTATATACGTACATACGATAATATACGACTCATAATGGTTTCATTTTATATATTTCTTCAAATTAAAAATTAAAGGGAAGATGACACACATGAAAAGACAAGAGAAAATCGGCGAACGAGCTGGGGATATATGCATTTTGGAAGTCGTACCAGCTTCCACCTTATATTAATCGAATAAAAAATCACCCATTTATCAAGAACCTCTTACATTTGGTAAAACTGAAATTGTTTGAATCAAATTGAAATTTATGAAGTTCTCGCTGAACCGGCTGTATTGACTGATTATGCTGATTTATGAAAAATAATATTTAAAATATATTTTATTAATAAAAAAAGTATATATATGAAAAAATAGTTAAAGTGGTCATTTACAATAACTTAAGTCAAGACAACGAGAAAAGTAACTCCAATATTACCTTTTCTTATTATTACACAATTCAACGCGTGAAATCAAAATTACGTGTTTGGTTAAAAAGTTGGTTGATAAGTCTGATAAACCGAAAATTAGATCGACCAAAAATATCGTGTTAGTCAACCTTAAAATCTTCAAATTGCAATTCAATTTGGGACAGAGGAATACATTCTCACATTTTATTTGCTATATATATGTACGCATATCCCACATCTTCTCTGCTCACAAACTCACATATTTCATCAGTTTTGTGGGTTTAATTAATTAAACACATTTTCCATCTATTCTGAAGTTCTGCCCATCATCAGCTCCACTACTACCACCTATGAAGGTAATGCATCTTCAATTCTTCATCTGATAAATGATGCCAATTTTTCTCAAATCTTATAAACTCAATTATCTCTCTTTGATATTTCAATTTGACATAGCCATTTTTTCTTAAGAGTAAATGTGATGTTTACCATATATGATATGTTCCCCAACCAGATCTTTAATTGGATACATGGAAAGATCCATGGGAAGCAACCCATCATCACCACCAGTACCAGCAAATCATATCCTAACACAACGGCATGTAAGATTATATTACTTCACCAGTGGATCCATCAACTCTTTTTTTGAGTCTTTGTCTAGCTAGTCTTTTTAATCACTATATCATTTATGTGAATTTTGTAAATTTTGCTTTTTTGTTAGAGTAATTTAACAATGAGTATTTTTGTATCACTTTCAGATCATAAACAACTCTTTATAAAAGTATATAATCATCAAAGTTCGACATTATAGATCAGAAAAGTGAAAGATGACTAATCCTTAAGAAACATGGAGCGTATTATTAAAGATTGATCTTTCTTAGTAGAATTTCACCTCTCAATATACTACCCATTATATTGTCCCATTATGTTAGTTCTACATTTCCTTTCAAGTGTTCAAAATGTTTGTACCAAACACATTATCAGCAATAAATTTAGAGGGTGTTTGGAACTGATTCTTAAGAAAAATGGATCGTTTTATTCTAGATTGATCTTTCTTAGTAGAATTTCACCTCTCAATATACTACCCATTATATTGTCCCATTTTGTTAGTTCTACATTTACTTTTAAGTGTTCAAAATGTTTGTGCCAAACACATTATTAGACTCAATTTTTAGAAGGTGGTTTCCCCAGCTTTTAAAAAACTGCTTCTAGTAGTAATTTGGAGCACCTGAAAGTACTTCTGTACTTTCACCCAAATACTTCCTCTGCTTTTGCTCCCTGAATGAACACAAACAGTTTTAAGAAACATATCCAAACACCCCTTTAAATGTGATTAAGACTAAAAAGATCATATATTTATCCCAACAAGCTACCATCATGAAACTAAGTGTTACTAGTAGTCTAGTACTACCTCCGTCCTGAAAAAGTTCGTCATATTGACTTTTGTTTATTAATAATGTCAAACTTTGGACAATGATTTAATTATTATGTTTATATATGATTTCTAAACGTTATACTTCTGAAAATGTTTTGAATAAGAAACATTTGGATATAATTTTCATATTCTAAATAATGTTTTTTTAAAAAAATATCATTTGTCAAAATGGATTGCCATTGACTAAGAAAAGTCAATATGACGAACATTTTCGTGACGGATGGAGTAATAGTTAATTAATATCAAACAACTAATAAGGAATTGTAGTGTCTATCCTATATTCTTTAACAAAATTATAACAGTGGTTTTAGTGAACCTTATATATATTATAGTAACTCTCACTTAATTCATAGTAACTTTAGTCACATTCTAGTCAATAAATTCTAAGTATTTCAATAACATAAAAAAAAATAACTCCGAAATTAAAGATTATGTGCACGAATAAAAGTATTTTAATTTTAGGTGACAACTCCGGTACCCTTTTAAAAATTGGGGTATCGTACCTACCATGCATTTGATTGGTTCAAATCATTCTATTCCTTTTAATTTAGATTTAATTAATTCAACTGCATCATTCCTATTGGTCCATGTGGACAAATGTATGGTACCTTAAGGGTACCATAGAATCTACCTTAATTTTATTGTATGTTATGAATAAGGATGTTTTTACTTGAATTGGACTGTAATTTGTCCCATACCAGATCAGACCAGACCAATCTAGACCAGACCAGACCAGGATAGTTATAAAAATACAAAGAAACCAGACCTTACCAGATCAGACCAGACCAGACAGGCCAGTTCAGACCAGATCAGACCAGACCAAACCAGACCACCAAATTACAGTCCAAGTAAAAACATCCTAAAACCCATTCAATGATCAAATAGTTGTGTTTGAAGAATTCCATATTTTTTGTCAAATTATACAGTATATTTATCCAGCTATATTTCTTTCGTGATTTTCCCTAGATAACGCGCCAAAAGAAGAATTCAGCGACTGGCCTAATGGAATATTACTAACCATTGGCACGTTCGGGAGCAATAAGCAGAATCATACTAGTAATAATCATCTCATCAAAGATCCAGAAGCTTCTTCTCCCGCCGCCGGCTGTGATAAAGTACATCAACAAGAACCGCCGCTTACGGCTGAAGAAGTCGGAGAGCTTCATAAAGAGCTGAAACTACTCATGCATAAACATTCCGTCAGGGCAAATACTGATAACCGCGGCGGCGATGAGCTGGAACAGTTTTTTGATTGTCTGGACGATGACGTGGAAGGCGATGGAATCATCCGTGACATCATTTCATCCGACGGCCAGGATTGTTCTGCCTTCCGCAGGTTGTTTGGGAATGCTCTCCTGACAGAGACTACTGCTATTAGCAGAAAGTCACTGTCTTTTTTCTTCAAGAAGGCCATTCTCTGCCGTGGCGGATTCGCCTCTCCTCACATTCCCCGTCCTCCTCTTCTTCCCGACGATGCAAGATCGGAGAAGTCGAGAATGGACAAGGTTCGTTCCACATTCCCACATTCCCGATAGAAAGGGCGATAGTGTACAAAAATATGATAAGCACTTACTTGCCCCTTCCTGTCCGCCTATGTAGCACGGAAACTCTCATGAAAGATACGTTTCTTTTTTGAAAACAAGCGTTTTTTGATCAAAAGTTGACGTTTCTCATTCCCTCATGATTTTCGCGTTTCCGTGCAACATAGGTGTCTGCCACTGCACACCGGCCAAGTATAAAAATACAAAAACTATGATTTGACTAACACTTTTAATAATAATTCTGGTGTGTAGATTCTGAGGTCTATATTGCAGAAAAAGATATACCCACAGGGAGCTGCAATGCCGAGGACATCCCAAAAGATGTACAAGCTGGAGGATAACAGCTTATATTCATGTGGGAAATCTGACAGTGAAGTAGAAGACAGTGAAGAAGATGATGATGTGGATGAAGGAGTGAGGAAGGGAGGTGGTGAAGCGAGCACCAAATGGGTTAAAACGGATTCTGATTGTAAGTTTTCTAATTATTACTCCGTAGAATAAAAGGGTTAAATCAGAATTAGGGTAGTCGTAAAATACACTAATATTAAATCTTAACCAGACTTAAATAGACAAACCACATATAAGAGCAAAACTGAAATTTTAATTTAAGAAAAATAAAATTCTAAAAAATATTATTAAAATTAATAGATGAAATTGAACTTTTGCATTATTCATATTCTATTTTGACAACATTTTATTCATTAATATCATACTAAATAAAAAATATATTAAATTTTCTCAATATAAATTTTGAAAATATATTTCTTATTAAAATTCTAGTGGTAGCTGATTAGAGTTTGATAGTGGTCAAAGTTAAAGTGTGATTGTTAATTAATAAAGAAAAAATACACACAATCATTATTTAAATGAAGAACAAGCTACTTGTATATAAATTTGTAGTCTTGTAGACATACAATAATTGGATGACCATGCATCTCATGTTTTAATATTAATTCATTCCCCAATATAATATAGGACCTAGGTATGTGACATATAAATATGCTACCATATATACAATTAATATATCCTTTTATACGAATTGAAGTACGGAGTACGGGTGTATTTGATTTCATTAAATTTACTGTTTTTTTTTCTAATTATTCATTACTACATATATACGGAGTAGAATTTATAAGCTGCATATTGAATATAAATTGTTATGAACATTATTGTGCTACTAATATGGACATTTACAAAATAACGAGTATTTTGTATATTTCTAAAAAACCATTAACACCAAATAACAACCGAAATTCATATCGTTGCAGTCATTGTTCTGGAGTTGTGAGATTTTCCTCTTCCATAATTGGGCAACGTCGGGAGATCCCAAGGTAAAGAAGCTCATTCAACGTGTTCATGGTTGTACTAAAAAAGACTGTACTTTCTAGTTTCGACTATTCATATACTCCGTATTAAACTTGAATTAAAACCCATAAAGTCATCCGTTTTGGAATATACACTACAAAAAAAATATACGATTGACAATGATTTTTAGCAGGGATTCCCCAAAATTGACAAGGATGTATCACATTTGTGTTAAAAACATTTTGACACAAGTTATTTAATACGAAATTATCGATCAATCCGTACCAAATCCGTGTCAATCTCGTATTTTTTTTGTAGTGAAATATTACACGTTATTAATTATTTAAAAGAATGAAACGCTAATTTCACAATACTATTTTACCTCACATGTTTGGAATCGGTTTTAACTATAATATTCAATACTTATATTTTTTTATTCAATGTCACCCTTAATTAACTTCAAAACAATACTCTTATTTTTCAAATTGTCACAATAAATCTAAAATATGCGTTTTTTTAAATATTTTTCACATCGATTAGCAAATTATCTGAACCTTCTTTTCTAATTGTTCACATCGATCCTTTTCACTATAAACTAATCGTTTTTAGATTTCATTCCATTAATCTTTTGGTTTTAAAAGATTAATGGAATTTTACACATATACGGAGTATTAAATATTCTTCTGTAACATAATACGGAGTAGTACTTTGTTATGTGAAATTTGGTAGGTAGTTATGTGTTCGAGTGGAATATAATACACAGATTGAAGGTGGCTGGTGAGGAGGACATGATGATGGATTAGTTGCAACTTGCAATTCTTGCAAACATAACCGACGACATGATACAACATTGTTCTGATCGAACTCTGACACTACTTTGAGATGACTTTTTGCCATGGCTGATCTCATTATTGTATACTACTAGCATATTGCTCTAATTTAGTTGTTTCAATTTCTCCTTCAAATTATTCAATATTGTTGCTTTTTGGAAATAACACCACACTTGTGTCAACCAAGATACACATTGTTGTACACACACTTACACACTCGTGTATGTCAAGTCTTTTGTATGTATACAAACACAACTTATTTCACAGACACTTCAAATGCGTTGTTTCTGTATACAGACAAAAAAACACTTCACAGACACGAGTGTGTAAGTGTGTACAAAAAATGTGTAACAATAGTTTTTTCCTAAAGCGACCCAAAATAAGACTCCACCACACAAAATTAATTAGGGCCAAGGCCGGAAAACCCAAAAATTGAGTCAAAACAAATTGAAGTGAACCAAATTACCTAACTAAATTGAACTGCAAAAAACGAAACCAAATATAAAAAACAAGACCGATTGTTTAGTTCAATTTTGGTTTTGTCTCTTCAAAACCAATTCAATTTTAGTTCAATTTTGGTTTTGTCTCTTCAATAAAATGGCCCGGCCGGTTCGGGCCATTTTATTTTTTATTTTTATTTTTTTGTTTGGGCTGGGTTTAGAACTTTAGATGGGCTGGGTGTTTCCGATGGGTTTGGGGATGGGGGGATGGGGGGTAGGGGATGAAATAATCAAAAAAAGCAAAATAAATAAATAATAAATAAATAAAAGAACCGGACCCGGCCCGGCCTGGTGGTAACCCGGGCCGGTCCCGGGTCTTCACCCCAACCTTCAAAAGCCCGCCGGGCCTAGGCCCAACCCGGACCCAACCCAGCCCGAGTCCAAGCCTATTGCCACATACTCCCTCTGTCCCACTAACAATGGGACAAGAGGAAGTGACACGCAAATCTATAAAAAAATGATTTATGTGATTGATATTGAATTGATAAAGTAAGAATAATTTAGAATCACAAATTTTACAAAATAAGGTATGAGACAATCTTAGTAGGACAAACTGAAAAGATAGAATGAGATAATCTTAACGGAACGAGGGTAGTTACATAGTAGTAATAATTTAGTAATAATCTCACACCTAATCATGGACCTAGGACCGGGTCGGGTCCGGCCTAGGCTCGGGACCGGCCCAATTGTCTACCGGTTCCGGGCCGAGCCGGTTCCGGTTCCTTTTATTTGTTTTCTAATTTATTTCATCCCCCCCATCCCCCAAACCCATCGGAAACAGCCAGCCTAGCCCAACTAAACCCAGTCCAAACCCAAAAAAAATTAAAAAATAAAATAAAAGGGCCTGAACCGGTCCCAGAACCGGCCGGGCCGGTTCGCATTTCACCTATCTGGACCGCCCCCGGTTACACCCTAAAACCGGGCCTAGACCCAGAACCGGTACCTGAATCCCGAGCCGGGAATTATACAGTACCGGGCCGGGCCGGGTGGCTCGAACCAAGTCCAACACTATTCACACAGTCACACCCTCTTAATTACTTTCAACCGTCCCTGAGTAATCCAATTTTTGTGAGTCATGAATTATCTAATTAATTCTAATCTCATAAATAACCTAAATTAATATTTCATATTTTGATCTTAGACTATTTGATCAAATACTCCTCCATAATAATCTCTTTCACTCAATCATACTCAAATATAATCAGCCATATCACCAACACCATCCCTCGACCTTCTCATATCATGGATGAGGATGCACGAAAAAAAAAAAGCAATCAAAAAAGCAAAGCAGGGAGACACCAATCAAAAAAGCAAAACCTACTCCAAAGCAGAGAGACGTTGGTAACAGTCTCCACCTGGGACCAACGTTTTACAGGCACAGCATCTATCTGACTTTATTATTACTCCCTAAGAATCTAAGATAGTTATTGACAGAGTCACAGGAGAATATACACATCCCAAAACATAAACAAAATTTATTTCAAAAGCTAATTCAACTGGTGAAAACACCTTTAACTAGTCCCTGTAAGGAGCCACCCATTCCTGCACCTACGGCTTCGGCCAAATATTTTGCCTGCACAAGTTGAGAGAAATGAAAACATTTCTTGAAATTTAAATTCTTATGCGATGAAAAGAAACTGGACCAAAATAATCTCCAAAGTGAAAACGTAAAAAGGTACCTCCTGGGCAGTCTTTCTTAGATCAAAGGCATCTTTAATCCGAGCATTCAAGAATGCCCATGTATCATGGAAATCTGTAGTAAGGAGAGCAAGAGTGTATAAACAACTATAGAGGTTCAATTCTAAATCCAAACCTAATGCAAGCCCTGTTCTAAAAAAAGCTCCCTAGACCCCGTAACCATGATAAGTCATTGTTAATGACACTTGGGCTATGTTTGGCATACAAAAGCTGATTACTTCTGACTTATCTATTATTGAAAAAGCTTCTAAAAGACTCGAGTTTTGTGTTTGGCCCGTTAACTTTTTTGAGAAGACCGGGACTTTTACGTGACGCTAAGCAAGGAAGCGTCTCACAAAAAGACCTTATCATTATTTACGACATTCCTTGTATAACCCTCCACTTCCTCTCTTTCATCTTCTCCAACTTTGCTATCAACGTCAATATCCCCCAAGTAACCTGCAGGTGAGTCCGTCTTCTTCAATTCCCCTGATTATGTTTCTTAAACCTTTTAATTCATCTCAATTTTTAACTGATGTGTTGTTGATTATTTTTGTTTTGTTTAATAATTTGTTTTCAAAACTTGTGTGATGAAAAATTTTGGGTTGAGTATTTGTTTCATGTTTAGTTTCGTTTCGTTTATTGTAATGCTAATAGTTGTTGTTTTCCCTGAGTTTTTCATGCTTCTTTGGTTCAATACAATGGCCTTTCTTGTTTTATTTCGTACTGTGGCCGTTTCTTGTTTAATTTCGTACTGCTTTGCCTTTTCAGCCTTTTGGGTTTATTTTCCTGCATTTTTCATAGTTTTTTGTGTATTCATGTTATGTTTTTTCTTCAAATTTTGATGTAATTTTTTACTGTAATGTTCTACTCGATTTCCTTTGCTGATATTTCCTAACATTTTGCCCGTTTACTGTTTTTTTTTCTTTTGTGTGTGCTATTTTTTGTTTTTATATGTTGTAGCACATTTTAGCTGCTATATTTTGTTGTCCAATGCACATCAGTAACTCAATGGGTGTAATATTGGTTATTCACGGCTCGAAATGAGTACTAAAATCTTTAATATGACTGTTCGTTCCCACAAAAATCTTCTCCGTTTGAATGGATTATCAGGAACAAATGAAAATGGAGAACTTGTTAATTAATTAATAATATTTGATCATTGCCCTTAATTGTAATTTTATAATTTCAGCTACTTATAACAACTAGTTTTGCCAAACAAGGCTATTTAAAAAAGGTAGCTTTCATGAAACAGCTACAGTCTTTTTCCACCTGCAAGCTTTTCAGCTCAAAAAAGCTAACAGTTACAAAAAAAATCTATAAAAGATCTTTTCAGTTTGTCATGCCAAACATAGCCTTAAACTGCACTTAGATGTGAGGCACTGCCTAGTTTTTGGGTGCTTTGATTTTCTTTGGTTCCTAGACGCTAAACCGTGAGAATAAAATGATCATTGTTTGCAACACAGAATACATTAAAAAAAGAATACATCGTTTTAAAAAAGGATGTCACCCCATTTCTAAGCCCCTAGAACCCGTCATATCCGGGAGGATGTAAATTGAACTTTAATCATAAACTGGTGGAAAGAGAAACGAAATTCCAGCCCAAGTCTTTGCTTGGAGTTGAATCTGGGACCACTTCTTTTTGGCACCCTCTTCCCACCGGGTGAGCTACATCCCCGGCAAGAATACGTCATTTCAATCCTATATCATATGTAGACGAATTTTAGTATTTAATAATTGATTTTTTTTCATATACTCTCTCCGTCCCATATTGGTTGCCTTAAAATTTTACATTATTTAGATTACTTGGTCTTTATAATAGAAATGTATTTAGGAAGGCTTATATCGAATATCTAAAATTGATTTATTGAGTTTACATGAACCAAGTCTATAACTTTCCCCAGCTTTGTGTCCTCTCAAATTTCTTCTACGCGTACATCTGTACTTTCTTTCGCTATAATTGCCCTAGCATTTTCCATGTTAGGGACCAGCCTATAGGTTTAAAATTTCAAATTTTGTTCGTTTTTACATATTGAGCATTTTGGATACACCACACTTGAAGTGCTGCTCATACCTCCACTGTCACTCATCTCAGGGAAAGTGAAGATAATAACACATAAAACATGCAACCTTAGCACTGTAAAGCAAATGGCTAATGTCTTACTAAAAAATGAATGGAATTCACGACCAACATGCAAACGTAGCACTATAAAAACAATGTTTTAATGAGTTAGGCAGCTCCAGAATGCCTTAGTTAACAGGCTGGCATTAATAAAAACTTATAGGGTATATTTGGATACCGTAAGGTGCTATGGGAAGGGAAAAATCACCCAAGGAAGTTACTCCATACTTTCTTATGTTTGGTTTACCTTGGAAAATTCAAAGTAAAATGAAATATGAATAAAGTAATAGACATACAACAACAACGACAAAGCCTTAGTCCCAAAAGATTGTTTGCCAACCACATTTCCATTCCTTAGTATTTTCAGTGATCCAAATCGACCTATACTGCTGTCTAGGACAACTTAGTGAATAGGCAGTGATTAGTTGGGGCTACATGAATTTTTAATAACATTGCTATTATAAACAAACCTGGAGAGTAATCCGTCAGCATGTATAGCTCGGTAGTAGAGTAAATTCCACCAAGCACGGTTCGCTTCACATACCAATCAATATCACTTCCATCATCACCAGCAGCATGCCAAATCTCATCAACCAACATTGCTCTTTGCTTGAAGCTTGTCGGAACGTTCATTGGATGTGCCTATTAAATATTAAAATCATAAACTGTTATTTTAAAGATCTTTATTAGGTTTTCTGCTATATTACTGCAGCTTAATAATACAAAAAAAAATATAGAAAAATACCTGTATACTGAGTGCTTGAGCCCATTTTGAAATGTAAGGGGACTGCAATTCTAACCGAAGTCTTACAATAGTTGCAACACGCTCACTAGGTATCATGGTTTTCAAATCCGTTCTTGATTCAATAACTTCAATTAGCCTTTCCAAACACTCGTCCATAAAAAACTGAAGAGGAAAAATCATTATATGAGTTGTAACATTGAAAACTGGCTACAATTACTAAAAATTAGCACCATTAT